AAATCTTAAAGTACACTGAAGTGAACTGCAAGACTACAATAAAAAAGAAATGAACAAATCCAAAGTTGAAAAGAATCAAAATCATATGTTTAATAATAACTAGAACCATAACAACATAAAATAAAATAGTTTCAACATTTCTATTACATCATGAGACTGGACCAAAAATACCACCCAACTAAATGCAGCATTCAAAAACCCCACTTTATGCATGAACTGGTTAAAATTAAAACAAAGCTGAAACACTGAGGATAAAACATATTAACAAAGGGTCATTTCAACCCTTACTGTAATCCAAACTGAGAAGCAAAGATTATCCTTTACTAATACCACAAATTCCTATGTTGTTTTCTACTCGTGATTGTCCAATTTTTAGATGATTTTATCTCTTGCAAGCAAAAAAATTTTGTTGTGAAATAAAATAGAAAACTATTGAAAATTATCTAAGGTATACATTAGGACTCTTATTGTATATAATAGGAATATACAACAAGATATGAGTTCCTGACCTAAAGGAACTTACAAACTTGAGCAATGCCAGGCACTTACAAAGAAATAATATTACAAACTACAAAACTATCTGTGAAAGAGGACTGAGTATGGAACTCTAAAGTAGGTGAAAGGATATACCAACTTAAAAATTGTTATAACTGAAATTTTATACAGAGAAAAGTTTTAAGAAGTGAGTATTGGGTCAGTGAGCTTTTTGTTGCTGTGGCCAAATATCTGAGAAAATAAACTTAGAGGAGGAAAGGTTTATTTTGGCTCATGCTTTGAGAGTTTCAGTCCATAATCATTTGGTTCCATTGCTTTAAGCCTGACCAGCATGGTGGGTGGGCACTGGGGTAAAGCAGCTCATCTCAGGATGGCCACCAGGCAGAGAGAAAGGGGCCAGGGACAAGACACAGTTCCCAAGATCATGTTACCTGGGTCTATTCCACTTGATGGGGGCCCACCTCTTAAATTTCCATCACTTCCTAACAATGCCACCCAAATATGAGCTCAGCAGCAGATTAACGCATTGATGAAGTTAGAAACCTTGTGGTCCAGTCCCCTTCCTAAACCCTACCTTCAAATGCAAGAAACGTTAGAGGGATATCTTATATCTAAATCATAATGTACTAAATTATGCAAAGGAAAAATTCTACCCAGCTTTTCATAGCTAGTTGATAAGGAATGCATATAAAGTCTAAATCAAATAAGTGCTTTTAGTAAGAAATCAGAATCACTGCAGTGCTCTCAAAAAATAAAACCTTATATGGTTAACCTTATTCACTTGTATATATGCACCAAATTGAAATTTTGAAGCGTTTTCTTTAAGATAACCAAATAAAATGAAACATAATAAAAAGTAAACAGTTTTCTCATTGGATGTTCCAATCATATCACCTTATAGGGTCTCTCATAAAGTGCCGTCACACCACTCTTTGGAAATAACATTTTTTCTGTTTGCCCACTCAGCCTCAACAACTATTGTGAATTGCAGCATTCATTGATAGCACTTATTTGGGGTTTACCCATGACCTTCCTTATGTACTATTTAGCTTATTTATACCATTTCATGTGGACAGGTACAAGAGGAGTCCTCAGGATACTATAAAGACTTCATCACACTCCATGGTTTAGCCTAAAATGGAAATAATCTCATAATCAAATGACACATTCACTGCCATGTAATAGAAGTACATGGAAAATGTGAATTAATCATGGTAAACTATTTGCAGGGAATTGGTAGAAAATTACATTCCTTGCACACATGATCTGTGTGCAAATTCAGTCTACTAGTTAGAACAATGTCTTTTTTTTTACTTCATTATATATTTTATTTTATTTATTTTAACAATGTCCTTTTAAGATTTTAATATTTGTAAAAGTTATTTTCTGTAGTAATAATTAAGCTTTCTGATTTAAAAGGTAACTATTTAAGCAAAGTTTAGTTTTGGATGAATGTGATCAGCACTTTGAAATTCATGTGCATTTCATAAAACTTCATTTTATTTTTTTATTAATTTTATTGAGAAACAAATAGCAATGAGACAGTTTCAAAATGGGTTAGTAGGACACTTACAATAATTAATACATTGCATATTGTTGTCTTCATATCAGTCATTCATAGTAGAAGATGCAGACATGATACCTTGTCCAAACATTGCTAGTACAAATCTTTCTTCTCATTAAATTAAGAGAAAGTAGCTGTGTATCTATCCTATTTTATATATACAGATACAAAATTGTCATTCATTTTTATCCCCATTTTTTGTTAGTTTTGTCAGAGATGGGTATTCCATTGCCATTTAAATATTGTAGGTGCTTGAATTCAGCAAAATAATCCATTTTAGTCTAGTAGTCCATAACAGTGATGGATTATCTGTAGGATTGGCAATGTCAAAAGTTGTTGACTTGAGCCTTTTACAGCTCAGCGTATTAATATAGTTTTACTTTTCATGCCTTGTTTTTACACTTTTCTGCTGGATGGTTAAAACCAAGATAAATCAAGACCTATATAATAAGAAATGTAACTTTTGTACCTGACAAGGCCAGTCAAATCCTCTCAGGATTTACCCTAAAATCCTGTACTGCAGCTTGTAGATCCTTTGTCAGTGTCAGCCATGTGGATGAGTCACGGCCATTGCCTGACCAATTTGCTCTCTGTGAAAGCCTGAGAGAATGTTTTTTCTCCATGTGGCTCTCATTAGGCACATGATACATTATCGATCACTTTCCTCTGTGGCCCCATAATCTCCTTGATCGGAAAATTTGGAACAGAACTGAGTTACATGATGTTACAGTACAGGTTCCCCTATGTCCTGAGTCCTCACTGACCTTGAAAGGCAAGGGCCAAAATGTCAGCTGTCCTTGTAGCCCTTCTTTTTCTTTAATTTTTGGTCTGCAAATTAAAGCTATTAACCCTCCAGAAGAGAAACTTAATGATATTGTTACCCTATAGCATAGGCATTTGAGCTTAACCTCACTATCTGTGTGAATATCAAACATCTTAGACATAACATGGAACAGGTATTTTCTATCAAGTATTGATATGTTAAACTTTAAATCCTTACAGAATGTGAAAAAAATTTAAAAATTAAAAATTAAAAAATATATTTATAAAAATAGGAATAAACAATTACACATTTTTACACGGAAATTTAGAAATCTAACCATATATATATATATAGCATTGTAGCAAGACAGTGCTATGACATTTTTCTTCATTTTAATGTTAGGGAATCCAAGTCAACAGATTTTAAGTTGCCAACCACACCATCTGAAGGCCAGGTCTTCATTGAACATCTAAATTTCACAGTGATTAAAAGAAATGCCTTAATTTGCTTGCTATTTGAGTCTCCCCATTTTCTCTATAGACCAAAACTTAGCCTCCTTTCAGAACACATTCATGCCATGAAACTTATAAATAAAAACAAGAAGGGGCCGGAGAGATGGCTCAGTGGAATAAGCGCTTCCCTGGCAAGCGCAAGGACCTGAGTTCAATCCCCGGTTCTGCAAATAAATAAATAAATAAATAAATAAATAAATAAATAAAAACAAGGAGTAATCAAAAATGTCCTCAGCTATCATTAAACTTAGGCATATTCCATAGCATTCACCTCTCCTAAACCTTTACACCCATGCACAAAACTGAGTGAAGTTTGAAACTTGACTTTTCTGAGAACATTTTATCACCTTTAAAATAGCTTTTGATTTGGGGAATGGGAAATGTATGTTCACTCCCAATTAAATATTTGAAGTTTACAGAATTTTGTCCTCAGAATAGTGATTTATTAATTTATATGTTAAGTAAAAGTCTGAGCCTCTTAAAATACTCAATATAATAATTTTGAATTGATTTTTTAAGATTCAGCTATATCTTAAGACATGGATTTTTTTATATATATTTTACACTCCTATAAAATTATTGAGCATTTTAAAGACTAAAAGAAATGCAAATAAAGGATAATCAGAAGGTTTTGTTTAATACAAGCTTAAAATTTTTCACTCTTAAATAAGTCTATCACCAAGAGAGGTTAGGACCCGACATTAATAAGAGAAACAAAGGATTTTGATTTTCTTTGTATTCTAATTCTCCAGGAGATAATACATATTTTAACTACATCATCTAATGGCATCATAATGTAATAGGCAAAAGTATTTTTATTAGTTATCAAAAATAAGAATTAACCCTATAAGCTTATATTTGAAACTGTTTAGTGGCAAGTAAAACTATCTTCTTTAGTGAAAGAAGACTAGTTTCAGACCAACACACTTGAACTATAATCCTGGCTCTCTTCTTGATAGAGTAATAATTTTCTTTCAGCTAATAATAAATGTAATATTGTATCTATCTTATAGACATTACCAAATAGTGTATGGCACAAATCCTAAAAGCTGCACAACAATGGCATCATTATCTAAGTGGCAACTGTAAAGTATCAGTTCAGAAAGGGAGAGTTACTCTGATTTATTATTATTATTATTATTATTATTATTATTATTATTATATTATTATTACTATTTTCTGCCTCATCTGCCAAATTCTAATGGATGGTAGTCACTGGAATCCCAGATCTAAGCCAGACAGCTCTCCCCAGAGTTAGTTCTAGCATACAATGTATGGTGTTTTAAAGAGAGATGAGGCAGAAAGAACCATGGGCAGAATAGAGTAGGGGTGAGAGAGGGGGAAGATGGCAACAGCAGAGATGAGCTGGGAAACAGGACAGGGCTGCATTCACAATAAAAGGCAGAGTTGAGAAGCTATGACCCAGACTTACAGCCTAATATATTTGGTCTTTAATAAAAAGGATAGTTGACCTTGGCTCTAAAATTGTCTCTAATTCTGAAGCATCATGAATTTATGATTTGAGGAAAAAAGTGAATCAGAAATAGACTGAGATCTATACTTCCTTACATCTGAAACTAAGACCTGTACCCACTAACCATGTGAAAGCAAATCTGATGTTTCATGCTCAGTTTTAATAGTTTTGTTTCTGTTCTTTCCTGTAAAGCTGAGAATCAGAGTTCAATAAATACCACAGAAATATCAGGTAAGTTCATTTTTTTCTTCTTCTGGTATAGCCATGGGTCAAAACCCAAGGATGAGTCAAAGCCAGGCCACACAGTTCGAGAGCAGGGTGGAATGCTATGGGAAGGGGTTACAGGTGGAGCAACCAACCATTTAGGAGACCTGGAGCTTAGCACCAGTGCTGACTAGCCGCTGCATCCCACAGCTCAGACCAGGCTGGTGGCTCCTGGCCTGCTCTGGGGCCTGCATCCCTCTGCAGAGGACAGGGCTCCTCTGTGCTTGCAGCAGTCTCTGGATTGGTCTCCTAAGTGACACTGATGGAAACCACAGTCAACAATGCACAGGGTCAGGCTTTTCACTCATTTCTCCTTAGTTTTGTCCTGCATGAACTTTAGATGACGGAGGAATAAGGGTGAGCACAAGGTGAGTGTTCCTATTGTTTTAAAACTATAACTATGGCGGAAGTTTTGACCTTTTAGCATCTTTCCTACTTGTACAAATGACAAATCTTATGGTTTCTCCACTCTCGTCTTTTTTTATATATCTCGGGTTTTTTTATATATCTCATCTTTTTTATACATCTCGTTTTTTTATATATCTTCTAAGATATATAAAATAAAAACGTAAAATAAACTTTAAAAATATTCAACTAAGGTGCTGGGGAGATAGCTTGGTGGTCTACGCGCCACCTGGCAAGTGCAAGGACCTTGTTTTGATCCCCAGTACCACATGCCGTGCCAGCCCCTGAACCTGAGTACACAGTGCCAGCCACCAAAACCAAGTGTAATCCCAGCACTGGGGAGACTGAGACAAGAGGATCATTATGAGTCTGAGCTGAATAGCAAGACACTGTGCCAAACAAATAAAAGGTTAAAATATATATATTCAACTAAAAAAAAGCAGAACAAAATATCTGGGGACTCTATCACCATATCCACAGCAGGTGTCCTGCGCAGTGTTAGTTGACCAGCTACCTCCTTCGTTGGAGTTCCAAGTAAATTATTACACTTTTAACTTTTAATTACCCCCTGCTACAAAATATAACATATTAAAAATGAATTTATTTTATATTATTAATTTTCTTTCACCTCATCATCATTTCCATGTTCAAAATCTAGAAATGTGCATGCACTAGACTACACAAAGCCCTGTACCCAGCCAGGATTGGGGTGCACTCTGAGGGTTCCACTGCTTCTCAGGTTTGCCATGATGAAGAGATCAGATGCTCAGGACTAGAGCCCCCAGCTGTCAGCTGCTGTTAAAGAGGGGCTGAAGCACCCCTCATTCTGCTCGAGAGTTATGTTTACAAGGTTCCAGTTACAGCAATGAACATTGTTAAGTGCAACATACAACACAATGAGGCTTTTTCAACTTTTAGAGTTCCATAAACTGCTTCTAAAACAGAAAGAGACAAATCATTATTTGAATAACAGATGAAAAGGAAATGTGACTACTGTAAATAAGAAGATAAGTCTTTCTCACTTCTTTACCCACTACAAACATCAGATATATGGCACAACTAGACTGAATTCAGACTCACCCCTCCTCCAAGAAGAATTAACAATGTATCAAGGTATTAAGATCTTATACTGTAGTTGAAACTTCTAATATGTCATTGGGCATGTAAAGATATAAAATTTATAAAATATCTATCCATAAGATTAAAGATAGGCCTATTACTAAAAATAAGTATTGTCTTCTAGGTAAATGTTGATATATCCTTCTAGTACATAGAATGGCTAGTACTGCTTATCTTCTAAAATGTGTAATTGCTAACATGTAGTCTTTGAATATATTATACACAGTTCTCCCATTTGATGTTTTCTTTCATAATTTGTGTCCTGCTTTCATTTCCTTTAAAAATTAGATTTTAACAACTACTTCAAAGATGACTAAGTTTCTAGATATTGGCAATTACAATACATAATTGATTGTTATTTGTGGAGGGATTAGGGGTAAGTAAGGCAATTCTCTACGAATGTGAAGGATGAGCAACTATACACAGAGATAATGCTTAGCATTATAAAATAAAAATGAGCAAACGACAGCTATGTTTATGTGGAAACACAGGTCCAGGGCTGAGTCTGCACTCATTCACAGGAGCCCAGTGGGAAGGCAGCAGAGTGCTGTGCTTAATAATTCATTCCACAAGATTCATGTGCAACTCCTGAGGCCAGTGGGAGTCAAGCCTCAGCCGCCCATTGCAACAGATCTCATAAGGCTTCAAATTCAGTATGGCCCCTGATAACTAGGACTGAATGGCACATGCCATCAACCACTGCTTGCCGAGGCACTCAGCAAGCATTCATTCGGCTCCCATTGCCTGTAACACTTACACTTATGAGAGACATAGGAAGCTCACCCCTAGCTGCTGTGGGGAGGACCAGTTGATGTCATAAATAACTACAGTAACTCCAGCAGCCAGGTGGGTAATGTTATGTCATGAGAAAGCAAAGCACATATAGATTCTGAGGAGGAAGAGCTTTTTTTTAATTTCGATTTTTACTTTGGTTATGTGTCCACTGAATGAGGAAAAGCAGCTTAAGAAGGATACAGAAAAGGCTCACAAAAGAAGTGACCTTCTGGGGCAAGATGCTCTGTGTCTGAAGTCCTTCCAGACCTTGCCCTGTATGTCCCCTTCTTTGACTGGCTCTAATTTGTATCCTTTATAATATAATTATAATTTAAAAAAAGAAGTGATCTTCTATATGCTCAGTTTTCTCATAGTGATTCCAGAGCCAATAAGCAGATAGAATGACCCAGTGGAAAGCGCTCTAGGCTGTTCACACCCTGGAAGTAGAGGCAGAGGATGCGCACCCATGGCAACAACTTTACACAGTGGTGGAAGGAACTTTCTTTAGCCTTATTATTTGCTCACACACAATCTGTGCTAATGACTTGTCTTTTAAAATCTGTGTGTGTGTTTTGGAGGGGGTGTCCTAGAGATCGAACTCAGGACTTTATGCTTGCCAGGCAGGGCTTACACTGCTGAACTATCCCTCCAGCTAAAATAAACCTTTTCACTGACATGTTCAGACCTGAAAATGTTTGAATATCACTCAGGGATTAGGAAAGGAGTAATCCATATTCCCATAATTTCCTGGGAAACAAAACTATATTACTTCTACTAGGGTTTTCCAGATGAATAGAACCACTGAACTGTGTGAGTAAAAGACTCATTGCGAGTGTTACGGCTTGTGTCTGGCTGTCCCCTAATCCCTCTGGCAGTCACAGCTGGAGCTTTTCCAGAGCTGGCCAGATCTAGACTGTGTGATCCTGGGGTTAAGGATGTGTGATTCCTAAATTATCCTACAGATTGGTTTGGTGCCCACCCCTACCAAATAGCCCAGATAGAGTATAAAAGGGTCAGAAAAAAGCTGCTTTTGTGGCTTATAGCTTGGTGCTGTCTGTCTTCTGGCTTCTTCCCACCATGAAGTGTCTGTCCTCTGGGTGTCCATCAGGGTGGCAGCAGCCCCATCCTCATTCTGCTCAGGTCACCACTTGTTTGGATGAGGGTCTCACGTCAGGGGCAGAACTCTGCTTTGCTTGGCCTCCATTCAAGCACCACCTCAGCCCACGGAGAGTACTGCCTGGCCAGCCACTTGGCAGGACACCACGGGTTTCTGTAGTCATGCACACAATATGCATCCAAGCACGTCCCCTCAGTGAGCAGCACAGCTTGTGAAAGTTGTCATCACAGCTCCAACAGTCTTGCAGGCCTCAAACTTGACAGAAAGACAGCAGCAAAAGCAGACGTCACAGTCCCACAGTTGGAGCTGTTCTCTGGGCTCAGCGCTCTATTTCCAGCTGTTAGCTGCTAATCACAAGGAGCTCACATAAAGTGAAACATGGGTCCTGCTGTGCCAAGGTTGCTGGTCTGAGTTTTCTGACTTTGAGTGGCAGAAGGCTGACACTGGTGTTGGTTAGGATCAACACAAGCTAGAAATATGCCTGTAGCAAAGAATACAAGAACTCGCTTATGAAATGAAAGACATTGAAGTGTTGTGATGAAGTCTAGCTTCACTTCCTCATGGGTGGGGTGCAGATTCTGAGTGTGGTGCGTGGTGCTTGTCTGGTTCAGACCCCTGATGGGTGTGGAATAAGCTCTTTTCCCTGTTCTTACAACATTCTACTGGTTAGGGCTTAGCTCTAGCTGTGCCCCCACTAAAGCATCATGTGGTCATAAGTGGAGCTGTTTCAGAGGTGGCTGAATCTCGAGTGTGTGGCTGATTAGCTGTGCAATGCTAGCATTAAGGGTGCTGGGATCAAGGGTGGGTAATCCCTGGATCAGTTCCCTGGTTGCTTTGACACAGCCCTACTTCCAGAAGCCTGGATACAAAATAAGGGAAAAAAGAAATAAGCCTTTTCCTTTGCTTTGCTGCCTGCTGCCTGCTGCCTGCCATGAACCGTTTCTCCTCTGTGATGGGAGCCAGCCAACTATGGACCAAAACCTCTACAAACTGGGAGCCAAATAAGCCTTTTCTCTTTTAACTTTAGATGTCAGGTATTGTGCCTCTGCAATCAGAAGACTAACTAAGGCACTAGCCCACAGTGACAGATCCTAAAAACTCCCTTTAAGATCCAAAATAGTTCAGTGGTATTGCTAAGGGAGTGTTCTCCTCTGATGAGCTCCACAATGTGCTTTGTTTGTTGTATTAGAATTCACCCTCTGCCTCCTTGCACCTACCTACCTGGCTTTTGAACTGTCAAAAGAAAGTGTACAGTTTGTTTGGATGGGAAGCATACAGTCCTGATTGGGGCAGACATTGAAGACAGTTCATACCTCGTACAACACCAACACAGGGCAGGTCCTGCCAGCCCGTCCCTTCCAAAACACAGCAGCTGTAGAAAAGACTCATGACACAGGCACACACTAGACCCTGCAGCAAAACCCTGGCTCTCATTCCTACTTGCTGTGTAAACCTGGGCCAACTCCTTAATCTCTCAGCCTCAGTTTTGACTTAGCAAGAATACAAATATAATGCAATTACTGAGTGAATTAATATTTGTATAATAATTGGA